ACACACACACACACACACACACAAAACAGGCAATTTGGGAGCACTAGTACTTTAAATATAATCTTGGCGGTACTTTTTCTGAAAACGGGTCCATAGACAGAGAAATAGAAATGCGAACTAAAAAAGCCAACGTTGTCACCTACCAGGTCACACCCCTCTCATCTCACCCAAACATCTCCATGGACACAAAGAGACAACTTATCACCTCGATATTTATACCAACATTATGCTACCAGTGCCAGACCTAGATTTATTAAGTAAAATCAATGGAAGCAAAAATCACTGCATGCGAAATGAAATGACTCCGCAAAACCCTTAACATCACAAGACGAGACAGGCAGAGAAATGAAGAAGTAAGAGCAGCTATCGGCATTGAGTCCTGACTGCATTACATAGAAAGACAGAATAAAATGGTTTGGCCACCTGTTGTTACGTATGTCACCTGGTCAACCAGCCTTGAGAGCCTATAACACTAAGCACTCAGGCTATGAAGGAAGAGGAAGGCCACGCAAAAGGTGGATCGAGGGTGTCAAGGAAACCCCAAGAAAACATAATATCACAACTGGAAGAGCTGCGGAGCTGGCTTCCAGTAGAAAACTACATCTCTCCTCGACGCTTAAAAGCAACAGGGATGAAAAAGTAAAAGTTAAAGTCAAAGTGAGACGTGGTGGGGGCGGAGGGCGAACAGACGCTCGTTCTGAAGCAATATCATGTAAGGCCCACACGTGGTTGTACAGGTGTGGAGATGTTCTTGGAGAGAACAGCACCAACAACAGAGAAGGAGAGAACAACAAAACAACAACAACAACAAAACAACAACAACAAAACAACAACAACAACAAAAACAAAACAACAACAACAACAACAACAGCAACAACAACAAATAACAAAAACAAAACAAACAAACAACAAAACAACCCCCTCCAAAATTTAAACAAAAAATAAAAATTACTGAAATCGAACAAAGACTTCAACACAATAATTATTTTCGGAACAAAACAAAGAATAATATTGATCTAACAGTTACCCGGAGTTGAACAAAGGATACAACAGTGTACCAGAATGAAACAGAGAATACAGCAACGTGTGCCTGGGTTGAAACCAAAAGTACAACACCGTATACCCGAATCGGAACAAAAAGTACAACATCGTCTAGATATACCTGGATGGAACAAAAAGTACAACACCATACACCTGGATTGGAATAAAAAGTACAACATCGTCTACCCGAGTTGGAACAAAGAGTACAACATCGTCTACCCGAGTTGGAACAAAGAGTACAACACCATATACCCGGGTTGGAACAAAGAGTACAGCACCATACACCTGGATTGGAACAAAGAGTATAACGAGTCCTTTTTCCGGAAATGAGCTTGAAATGCAAACCGCAAGGTCCATGCAGAAACATGATAGGTAACAAACATGCAGGGATAGATCAAACGGATGGCGAGATTATCAGTGGCGGTGGGTGGACCAAAATTTGGGTGGAGATTAGGCTGCTTCCACTTCTTTACCACCAAATAGCAAGCAATAAGACCTAGACAGTATATTGACTTTTCTATACACTCGGTGAGCGATGGTCTTTTGAGAACCATTCAAACGAGAAGAGTCACCTTTGTCTCCCATCTCTTTGTTCTAATTTAGATTCTTTTGGATGAAAGAGTTGCATTAAAAGTAGCTCGACTCGGTGTGATTTATAATTGTTAAATCTCAGCAGTACAAACACAAATATGCACACGCAGCACTTCAAACATATCATTATTCCGTCTATGACCTGGATTCTGGATTAGGCGTGTAGTCGCAGAATGTAGAACGCACCCATAGATTAATACTAAAAAGGAGATAACTAAATGAACACACCTAACAAAGGTCCAATGAGCGCGTAGGTATCTGTGTCACTGGGAGAAAGTGTGTCATAAACTTTCACCCCATTGTCAGGGCTAGGAGAGCGTGAGCCCTCAGTATAGTGTTCTTTTCCCAGTCGTCTACTTTGTTACAAGAACAGTTTCATTGCAAGGGGTGTGGGAATTGACTCATCCTTTGCTGAGCCACAAAGACATTTGATTAGCCGTTAGGTTACATTTGTACTATATTTGTAAGCGGTGACAATAGTGATTGGATAAAAGAGCAAGTCACCAAGTTCATCACTGTGTTCAACTGCTTAAGAAACTTTCATTTACTTTGGGATAGTGTTGGAGGGAGGGGGGGGGGTCAATCCCGTGAGCCCTTTACTACCCACCGCCACTGGAGATTATATTTCCATCTGCACCGTCGGACAACAGGGCTACTCCAGAGGTGACATGACATCACCCTAGATGTCTAAACTGCAAACCCGACAGAATGCGAATCGTGAAAGGATACTGATGTCACTGCTGAGGTTATACCGGCCAAAGCTTTCTTTTCTTCCACCCCCTCCACCCCCTAAAAAAAGCGTACAAAACTAATCACGTCGACTGTTATATAAGGATGACACCGGGAAAAAACCCAACCCAAAACAACAAAACCCCACCACAAAAATAACAGGAGCCTCCTTTCTCCCCGTTTTGAGATCGAGCGGAAAGAAAAGTGAAAACAAAACAATAGGAAAACACCATCAATGAAATCTATGAATGAGTCAGCGAGTGCGTGCGCGACTGGTTAAAGATTGAGAGATTGAGCGAGTGCGTACGCGACTGGTTAAAGATTGAGAGATTGAGCGAGTGCGTACGCGACGGGTTAAAGATTGAGAGATTGAGCGAGTGCGTACGCGACTGGTTAAAGATTGAGAGATTGAGCGAGTGCGTACGCGACGGGTTAAAGATTGAGAGATTGAGCGAGTGCATACGCGACGGGTTAAAGATTGAGAGATTGAGCGAGTGCGTACGCGACGGGTTAAAGATTGAGAGATTGAGCGAGTGCGTACGCGACTGGTTAAAGATTGAGAGATTGAGCGAGTGCACACTAGATGAATTGGAGATGATTCAGTGAGTGCTCACTAGATGAGTTGGAGATTGAGTGAGTGACAGAGTGAGAGTGCGCAAAATGAGTTGGAGATTGAGTGAGTGACAGAGTGATTGCTCGCTAAATGAGTTGGAGATTGAGTGAGTGTACACTCGATGTGTTGGAGATGACTGAGTGAGTGACAGAGTGAGTGTACACTATTTATGAATTGGAGAATGAGCGAGTAACTAAGCAAGTGCAGACTAGATGGTGAGTTGGAGATTGAGTGAGTGATTGAATGAGTGAAGACTAGATGGGATAAAGACTGAGTGAGTGACTTTGTGAGTGCACACTAGATGAGCTGAAGACGGAGTGAGTGCACACCGTATGAGTTGAAAATTGACTGAGTGCACAACAGATTGGTTGAAGATTAAAATAGTTCACAAGAAATGAGTAGATGTTTGAATAAGGATAAAGAAAATAGATTGAATAAGTACGGACCTGGTTTACACAGACATCAGCTCTTATTTCTCCGGTGTGTGAGTTTCACTGCTTTATTATTTTTTAAAAATTTGGTAGGCATAGAGCATAAGAACTTTTTTTGTTTCATTTTTTGTTGAGGTAATGGTAGATGGAAAGTTGGCTTATGTCATGAATTTAAGAGAAAGAAGAGAGGGAAAAATGAACAGGGCACACTGTGGTATGAGTTTCTGCGAACGACAGGGAAATGAGCCAGGAAGCAAGGGTGAGTCCACACGGCTACATGGGTCAAGCTCACGGCAACCACCATTACACCAGTTCAGTTCTCAAGTGCGGATGACCCCAACCTGTCTACGTGCAACGTCACTAGTCCTAGGGGGCGCACCTTCCGCCCGACCCCGTGTCCGACGAGTCTAAGCCCCGCCTCTTGGCGGACGCTAGACTGTTGATGGACTCGGAGCTGGTGTCCAGGCCGCTGTCCAGTTTCCCGGAGTGACCAGAGGCTGAGGGCTGGCGCTTCAGTCTGGTGGTGGACATTCGTCGGCGGAGGTCTGCTGGAGCTGTGGTGAAAAGAAGGGGATATAAATTGTTTCAAATTTTTTTGCAGCTTCCTCACTGTAAAGTCCCAGATCATTTTCATTTAAAAGGTTGAATCTTTTTTTAAAGGTTTTTCATTAGAGGAGTCACTTTATACTACAGTCAAGAGTCGTCTAGCTATAACTATGGCAAGCTCAAGAGAAAACTATTATAAGAGTGAGAAAAAAGAAATTCTTAACCGACCGTACAAAACTGGCTACAGTGTACCGAGCGCAGTATTATGTATCCTCAATGCAACGTTTTGTTTATATTTAATTTGAACTGGACAAAGCGAACTACCCCCCCCCTCCGGGGTTCTTTTGTTCAAGGTACACAACTCCGAACACTGTAGCTTTTTTTTTCAAAACAGGAATTGTGTCCCCTGTTCTATTCCGCCTGCCGCCGCCTGGCTCAACGTCGCGGCAAAAGCCATGTTGCGGGAATGAATTCTTCCCGTGCAGAATTTACGATTTGATATATCTGCAGCTATGCGTGTTTCTGCTTGTCGCTACAATAGATTTACAAAGTTATGTGCGCGCAGTACTTAGTTTTTGAGAAATTTTATATTAAAATTTTGTAGTTTCACAACATTTCAAACATTTTCCAATCCAATTTTTCGATTATCTTGATAACGACTCCAAAAAATCCTACGAGTTTTATAGAGCAGACAGAGCACATGATTTTCGACCTCATGGTATAAGTGACTAAAAACGGCCAAAAATGTTAGAGAGAACTTCCTAATTCAAAGGTGGCGTAGTGTTAGGACGTTGACCTGCCATGTCCATAGTTTCCCAGATTATAATGCTTTGTATCTTTTTTTTTATACCACACGTATAAAAAAAGATAAAAAGCATTATAAACGATCCACCACACCCCTTTTCCACCCAAATTGTAAGATCACACAGCGGCAGATATGTACCTCCAAAAACAAAAGAAAGAAAGATATAAAAGAAGTTTTTTACCATCTAGCATAAGGCTTTTGTCAGAATGAGCCTAGATGTGTGTTGCTCTTAGAGTATGTATCTGTATATAACTCCAAAGGTCTAGTATTTAAATTCATGCATGTGGTTGAATGATGCATTTGATGTAAATGTACATTTTGTCAGCTTTACTTCTCCTTTCATATTGAATTTCAATGAGAGTAATATATATGATTTAAATTTTTTATGTACACCTGCATGTGTTTTTACGGTCCTGTACAGCCAAGGAAAATTTCCCTCTGGGATAATAAAGTACTATCTTATCTTATCTTATCTTCTCTTAATAGTGCTTGCCTTAATTGACTTGAGCTCTCGTCCCTCCCCATGAGAGTTTGCTCATCTCCGTGAATGCTCGAGGCTCGGAACACCCAAGAGGTTCTGGCCATATCTCTGTACATACTATTCCCTTTCTTACATTACAAGCGTGGCCATTGTGCAATAAATACATTAATTGATTACCGACTTTGCTTCTCCTGAAATCCTTACTCAAGTCAGACTGACTTTCAGCCCGGAATATCCATGGGTTATGAACCAGGTCGTGCCGTAACTGACAGAAAACATGTGAAAGCCTCCCCCCCCCCCCTGTCTGATCTCCCATCCAATACTCATGCTTTCTGCTATCCGCTAGATTGTCTTAACTATCTCTCCCATCCCTATACCTGAATCATCCGCTAACTGACTTCAACAATCCCCCTCCCACCACACGCCACAAAACAACAAAAAACAAAAACAACAAAACAAAACAACACAACCCCCCCCAAAAAAAAACAACAACAACCCCCCCAAAAAAACACAAAAAAACCCAAATAAAAACAAAAATCCCCAAACAAACAATTCCCCGTGCAGATATCACCCCCCCCCCCCGCCAAATCCCCCAATCCAAGGCATCTATTCAACTGTCCTCGACTATTTAGAGTAAATTTCGACCCCCACCCCCCTGTCCTCCCCCCTTTCCTCCTCCATTTCTTAAATCAAGCACAAATCGTCTTTGGCGTACGATGTCATGGCGACCCCAGTACAACCCAACATAGAGCAGAAGCCCGGTATGTGTGTACTATGTCAAATGAGTTCCGAATGGCGGCTACAGATTACTTCTTACCCCCCCCCCCCCCCCCCCGACCTCTTTCCCCTAAGCAGCGTGCACATCAAGATGGTTATAGTAAGGTCCTTGGTGCACACTGACCTGTCGCGTCCTTGGCAGATGTCCTTGAGACGACACTGCCCCGCCTCCCCCGCCTGCCCTTCTCTTCCGTCCCTGCCTCAGGCCCAGGGCAGCTGGGGTCATGCTCCACAGGGGGCGCCGGTTCCCACTTCCGGCTGGCCCGCCACGAGGCAGAGCACTGGTTCTCATACACCTGGGGGTAATACCAACTGATCAGAACGGGTGCAACAGAGGAGAAGTTAGCGGGCGTCCTTCTGGAAGGGTTGGGTGGAGGCCATTGAGAATGTGAGACGAGTTTGAAAACTTAGAATGCCAAGCAGTGCAAGATACTGTCCAGAAGCCCTGTCTTCCGTATTTACTGAAAATTAGCCCCTCCCCCTTTCCTCAACTCCGGCCCTCAAAAAGCGAAAATAGAAAGATTTGTATAATGATTTGTATAATGATTTGTATAATGATTTGTATAATGACCATCACAAAGGAAAAAATAAAGCGAACAAAAAAAAATAGTGAAAGTCAAACTCCTTATATTCATGGATATAAAATCTACTCAAAGTAAGAGGCTAAATCTCCCAAGACTGAAAGGATCTAAGAGAACTCACACCACGAGTCAGTGTGGTATAGCTCTCCATGTGGGTTTATCGCTTACGAGAGCATTGAGAAATTAAACTAAACAAAGGCAATTAGGTATCCGGCAACGCTTCGTGACTCTCAAACATGAGGAGAAATTAATTTCATATTAGACCGTTTCCACAATGTGACTCCATAAAATAGCTTTCTCGTCGACCTTTCCTTTATCACAAGATTATCCTCCAGTATTTGATCTATGCTGTGTATGACTATATATGGTCAAACCTTTTATATATGGATGTGACTGTCGAACAATGGCCAAAATATAACAGAAGCAACAAAAACATGTTTTCTTAGGAGACTGTTGAGAATTTCTCAGAAGAAAAAAAAATCAATTAGGGCAGTACTTGAAGAAGCTCGCGTGGGCTGCATGTTGATAAAACAATTAAGAAGAGACGATGCAGTTTTCTGGAACTCTTGAACAGACATAAAAGCCTTGATCATCTAGCTCTCACCGGTAAAACCGAAGGCAAACGGGACAGGAGTAGACTCAGAGCTTCTTACTTGGAAAGCCTCAACGGATGTGTGACTGGGAAAGTTCATGATAATAAAGCTTTTTTTTGAGAGCATCCGAGCAAAGGAATGAATGAAGAACCATGGTGGCCAATGTCTCCCGTAGACCAGGCACTTGATGATGATCATGATATGGTCAACTTTATAGTAGATAAAATCATTATAAACACTTGTTTCATCACGTAAATTAATTGTACTTCGCCTTCTCTATCATATCTGTATTTTTATCTCATAAACGTTTAGCTTACGTCCATGTACAGAAGGAATGTAAGTTACACCTTGCATCCTCCTCTCATTGAGACCCTGTACACCCCCCCCCCCCCACACACACCAACCCCAACAAGACTTATAGCCTTAGCTCTACGTTTCTTAATAATAATAATAGATAATAATAGATAGCATTTGTATAGCGCATATCCCCGCTCAACAGGAGGCTCTATGCGCTTTACACTATATTATTACCCCAGCAGACCATAGAACACTCAGAAACATTCTCTGCTTCCCGGGAAGCATACAGTGCGAGCAGCCGATTAAGCGCTCAAACACTAACAAACTGACATGATCTTTCGCTGTCTATAGCCGGGTACCCATTCCCACCTGGGTGAAGTGAGGAAAATAAGTGTTAAGTGCCTTTCCCAAGGACACAACATCGGGCCCCTGACGGGATTCGAACCCACGACCTTACGGTTGCGAGTCCGAGAGCCTAACCACTAGGCCACCGACGCCACATAATTTCCTCCCATGTAAGCCCCCCCCCCCCGGGGCCCAGCGTCCCCCCCCCACCCGCCTCATTGGACCGTCACCCCTATGTCTGACCTTGAACAAAAGTTTCAGCTCCGCTCTCCAATCATTTGGTGTCACTGAGTGCTGGGTGTGACTCACGCTACAAGACTCCGGCCAGGCGGTGCTAGTTCTGTTGGATGAGTCCATTGAGGAGACAGGGTCCCAGTCCTCGGGGTCATAGGGCAGGTGGACCATCTTAAATACGTAGCTTGGCTTGTTCCGGAAGTCGTTCTCAGCGACACAGGGTATCACTTCCTTGTCGTTCTTGTAGCCTAGGGCGTAGAGCGGGCTTTGGGTTTTTCTGGGAGAAGAAGTATCAGCATCTGTTGTTTCGGAGGTTTTTGTGTTTTACAAGTTGTCGCCACTACCACCAAAACCAGGGGCGAAGTGTCTATATAATCAAATAATCACTGCTTCCCTTCCTAATTCTGAAACATTGTCGCTGTCAAATTCATCCTTAAACGTAAACCTCTTTAATTAAATGTAAAAAGGCGTTCGTAATCAACAATGAACAGTATGCCTAACATTCAAAACGGTTTCACGGCCTCAGAAAAAGCCTCCTCACCCCTCTCGGGCCACCCCATAAGCAGTCGCAAGCTTTGATTGAGTAAGCTTAAAGTGAGTCTGGAAGAGTCTACCAATAGATTTGAAGGGAACATGTACATAGCAGTCCAAGCTGTTTCATTGCCACATATACCCTGTTCACCCCTTTGGGGCCACAGTTAAAATCAATCTCAAGCCCTGATTATGTATGCTAACTAAAGCTGGTCGAGTCTACCTCACAAATGTGAGGGGAACTAACTCTTAATAATCTCTTGACTGCTGCGTGTACTTGTTTTTTTCCCTCGACTTTTTACCGTCCTATAATCAGATCGTGACCTCGATTATGACACCAGCTCCTGGCCGCGAAAGGCTAACAAAAACAGCCAAATGTGAACTTTAAAAAAGGATAACTGTCATGTTCTACCAAAGAGTTAGACTGATTGGTAGATCTATAACATATAGATCTAATACTGACATCTCTGTTTCTTTGCTTTGTGTTTATGTATTCACATCTAAAGTTAAATTTAATTTTAGTTGGAACTGATATTTAATAAGATACTTTCCCGATTATTTTGGCGGTTGAACATACAATATGAATTTCGGATTTGTTTTCATTCACAACTCAGAGTCGCCGCCTCGAGTAAGATTCTTGTGTGATATCTACAGGCCATATCTGATCCCGTTTCACTTTGATTACCCTGTCAAACAAGTCAGCCTTCGCCCCTGACCAAAACTAGTGATTAATAGCAAGACACACGCTAGAAAACAGATAAGAATTAAGAATACAAAACGGCACTTGATGAGCCAATTAAGAATGGTAATAACAGCTACAACATCATCACCACCACACCGTCATCGCAACAATAGAAACATACACACACACACGCACACACACACACACACACACACACACACACACACACACACACACACACACTCACACACACATATGAATATATATATTACACATACACACATACACAAACACACACAAAACCAACAGCAACAGTGTCGTCAAATATAATGTCAAAGTTACTGCAATCGCCAAAACATCTATGAGAACAGCCATATTCACCATCACGACAATTACTCCCCTTCAGGTAATCTTTGATGACAACACACGAGCACCTCTGACCTTATCACCTCTTGCCATCGCCCTCCTCCTCCTTCTCCTCCTCCTCCTCCTCCTCCTCATTACCATCATCAACAACAACAACGCCACCACCCTACAATACCTGTAATATCCATAGACGGGCAGACTGAGATTTGATCTGCTTCTAATGGAGGACTTCCGGTCGTCTACCGAGGTGAATGATGAGGCGGAGTCTCGCCTAGTGAGGAAGGCGGCAGACATAGGTCTAAGGGAGGGGCTTCTGCCCGTCACGTGATTTGAGGGCGGAGCCAAGTATCGAGGGCTCACTGTTACGTCATCCGCGAAACGAACGTCTTTGATAGCACTTCCGGGTCGCTTCTCCAACAACACTTGCTCCACTGCGTGAGCGCATGCGCCGTGACCGCAAAAGTACGCCTCTTCCAGAGCAGTCCTGCCCTGCAGGTTAGTTTTGTGCATGCTTAGTTTGTATTTTCGACACGCGCTCGCCAGAGCTTGCGTGATAGTCGCGTTCCCGGACATGGCAGCGTAGTGGAG